TATATTTAGTCATTTGCACATTGTACGCTAACTCTTCACTTATCTTGCGCCTTTTATTTGAATATCTATCTATATTAATTTTTCCCTAATTAAGATGATATAAATAATATATATATATATATATATATATATATATATATATATATATGAAGAAATATAGTTTAAGTTGTGCTATATTTATGGGATAAAGTGCTCACTATCAAAGATAGAGCGTATGTAAATATAAATATAAAAGTGAACATTGAAGTCAACACTCAGAGGCGACAGGCAGTTTCATGCTAGATGTAATCGTCAGGCTGCCTAAAACAACCAGTCGCCTCTGAGTATTGACTTCAATCTTCACTGATATATATATATATATATATATATATATATATATATATATATATATATATGTGTGTGTGTGTGTGTGTGAAAACATTATTATAGTGGATAATATTGCTATAAGATTTGAAGTAATGAAAATATCGAATAAAAATTAATCTATTAATTCATTTTTTTAGAAATATGCGGACTCAAACAGGAATCGAACCTATATTCGTATACAGAAACTTTCATTCGATCTGACGAGCAGTACAATTCAGCTACAGAGAAGAGACTGGTTAGAAATGTTTGATTTGTAGATCATCCGTGTTTGACTGATTTAAATACTGTTTAAATTGATTCTAAAATCGGACATTATTTTCCGAAGAAGATAATATAATTTCATTATCATTTTACCATTCTAGATAAGTAAAAATTTTTGCGACATTATATCTGAGACATTCCTTTAATTCTATGCAATGTCACAGGGACACTAATCGCGACTCTATTCATAGGCAGTCTGAGAATATCTAAAAGATATTGAAATGATTTGTGATATATCTCATCGGTCGCAGAAAAAAAAATTCTACGACAGCCATCAGCATCTGTGCAAAGTATCTAGTATCAACACGATTGATAACCTGCCATATTTTCATGACCAAAAGAAAATATTTCTGTATTATGGTATATTTAATCAAATATTCTAGAAGAATTATTGTGTTCTCTCCTTCCATCTCTTTTTATGAAATGTTTGAATTAAATTTTGATTTACTATCACGCTACCAAGACAAAAAACATTTTTACATGCTACATATCAGCAATAATATTTTTATTACAAACTTTTATATATGTGTATAAAGTGTTTTGTTCAAAAATCTGGCAACATACAAAATCGTGAGGTAAATTTAGTCATATGTAAATTTCCGCGATTATTTTTATTTTAAATATATTCACCATTTCATGCTATATTATGTCGAAAAATATGTAACTTATCTTTTGGCTTAATATGTATGGATTTGTATTACCAATTAACATGAGTAATTTAAATTTCAGAATTGATTATAAAATTTGATCTTTCAAGGCTTCATTCAGCTTCTTTCGAAACAAGTGGTTTGTTTGCAAGAACCTCGGGGCTCAGATATATGTAGAAATCATTATCAAATTGAAATACATCATCATATATGTAGTTGCTTTAAATACAAAGCTACCTTTCATGATACAAATAGTCGTCTTTTTTAATGTAACATAATTCAGTATGCACGTTGCTTGAATTCAATGCATGCATTGATCATATTCACACGCCTTTGAATTTCGATTCGTGCGGAAACTTCCAGTATCAACAATTGACTGATTGCTAATTCGCACGTTACAAAGACGTAGTAGTCAAAACTAAAAAGGATATTATTCAATGAACAAGCAACAAAGAGACACAAAAAACGTTTTATCATTACTTTATATGATTCTGAATTATATGTCCCGGAAAAGGGATATATTTGAACGAAGTAGCTAAGTGGTTTTGGCTACTATAACCAAGTAGAATACGATAGCAGTAATCGACTGGTACGTGTCGTAGTCGCATGTAAGAAGTGTAGACCAATGGTGTAGTCCAATGGGCCTCGTTATAGACTTAGCTCACAGACTAAGGCTCTTTGACTCCGTCAGTATTTATAACGGACACCAACCAATCACACTCCAGTGATGGGGAACACAGGTGTATGCATATTCCATTATATCACTGAATATATCTGAAATTTTCTAATTCAGCCGTTTACAATAGCATGATTAAAAAATAAAATCAAATCAAACAAGCAAATAAACCAGGCCCGTCAATACACCCAATAGGAAAAAAAACAAACAAAAAAAAAAACAAAAAGAAAAAAACAGTGCATACCGTAAGAAAACGCATACCAAAAGAGAAACAAAGAAAACGACTCTAATATATATAGTGTATAGCTGGCCACTCGTATTCCAGGCGGCTAGTCAATCCCTATTGCAGACGCTTGCCCAGGCACATTTGTGATTGTTTAAAACCTGGAGAGCGCACCTGTGGTTTATACTGCATCTATGGAAAGAGCGTGTTATCTAGCGTGATCAACAATTTGAGCAAGGCCATCACGCTGAAACCCTCGAACAAGATGACTTGTGAATTCGTGCTAGCACAGCTATCGACGGCACTCATCGGTTTCACTCACGTGGTATATTTTTCAGGCACTTGCCTGAGATGCCGCAGTCCGATAACATCCGGAAGTCTCTTTCCTGAACCCGGGACTCATGATCAGAATGTGAACGTTCTAACCATTCGGCCATGTGCCCCACCCCCACACACAAACACACAGACACACATATAAGATGCAACAGATAAAGGTTCTTCTAGATTAATCCCCCCCAAAAAAAATGAAACCGAAATCTCGTTTTAACTGATATATTTACCACAATTACTCAGAAATATTTTGTAATAATTACATAATGAATGTATTCAATAAAATCGACATTGTCTTCAACTACGTCCTCCAGGATAACTTCGAAATCTCATGCATCACTTTTGGACGGTCGCCTTAATTAAGTTGGTCGATGCTGCCATAAACATACCTTCAGTTCATCTTTGGTGTTTCAACGTGTTTTGATGGATTCTCGAACAGTTAAGCCCCGCCCATAATAAATAAGAAGGTTGCAATCTGGCGAGTTAGGTGGCCAGGTGTAAAGGGTGATGTGCTCCTAGAAATTGTCTGAAAGCAATGATAAGGTTCGACTGCAGGTGTTGTATGGTGAAGAGTCCTGTAACTAGACATACGATCTTCCAGCAGCAACCCTCTTGATCCAGGGCAGCACTATCTCATCAGGACACTTGATGTAGGACTCCGCGTTGAGTCTAATACCTTGTGTGGAAATGAATGGTGGTTATAACAACGTCATCACGAGTGATAACTCCAACTTTCATGATACAGATTGGATATTTCCTCCAAACCTTTTTGAAGCCTATCCACTGTCCTCGTACACTCTGAAAATTTGTGTTGAAGTTTCCGGTGCGAATGCCAAGGAGTACAGTATGCTGTTTTCAAATTTCTGGCGTCATGGTGTGCTTTTTCTCAAAGACAGTACCCAACTGATCCTACTGTACTGTGCAGTCGACAAAATCAAAACAAACAATGGCAATTCGCGTACTTAAAAAAGTAAAATAGCGTCAATTTACCCATCGCACACTCTCTGTGCGTGCGTCCGTGCGTGCGCGCGCGCTCGCGTGTGTGTGTGTGTGTGTGTGTGTGTTGGGGATTTGTATGAAACGTGGAGAAAGTTTACTTCCGAAGGACGAAGCGCGTCCGAATTTGTTATATTGGTACGGGTACACATGCACATGAAGCTCGTACCAATATGCCAAATCTAGTCTGATGAAGATGTGTATGCAACAAAAAAACTGGTGAAGCCATGTCGTTTTGTTTTCCCTGTAATGCCTACCGCTGACAGCTATGGACGTCTTTTTTTCTTAGTTCTTTTCCTTGTAACTGCCCTTCATCACTCTAACTTCTAAAGTCACTGACCATTCATCATGTGACCCTCGTGACCTTTTGTAACGCCATATGGCTAAATACCTTCATGCTGATGAGAAAACAATAATGTGTATAAGTGATGGTGTGCAGTGTTTTAACGACTGCCCTCTCTGATAAAATTATTAAAACAATTTTACTTTCTGTTATATAGCGTTCCTATGTACATTATTGAGTACGTTCCATTCTTCATAAATACGATGTACACTATTATATGTCAATGTAATATGCTGTATATGTATTTCACCATTAGCTGTGGTTTACCTACTTCGCGGAGCTGGCGAGTATTGTATTTTGTTCATGTTATAACGATTAACCTTTCATTTCCAACCTCTAGGTTACAGTACTTTCTCTATTTGAACTTTATGCTGTATTCGCTTATTTTCTCTTCCGTAATTTAAATATCAAATATTATTATATATCTCTTGTCAGGTAAGTTAAGAGTTATCGATAAAAGCACAAAATTGAAATGAAATTAAAGTCTTAAATTAGGCGCAGGTTTGACGTTATAATAATTGTTCTGTTGTTTGCTAGCCCACGAGTAATAATCAATGTTTTCACAGTGCAATTAATAAACATCCGTTGGTAGTAAATTCCACGTTGAAATTTACATAGGGTAATCATACGCATAATATTTTGCATAAGTTTCTATATTTTCTTCAAAAAAAGATGAAAATCGAATAAAATAAAGATATAATTAAAACCGCTTATTCAGTTTCCTACTCTCGTGTCCATCATTCAAATATAAACCACACAGAATTCGGAAAATATTATTACTACTTAAATGTATAAGCTAAATGACACTTACTTACAAATGTCTGCGTTTCTCAATGTTTAACAGCATATCGACTCATAATGAGGATTGCCTATGTCTCATGTTAATATGAATGGAAGTATTATGTAACATTCACAGAATGATTAGTATATATATATATATATATATATATATATATATATATATATATATATATATATATATATATATATATATATATATATATGATCGGCGTTCAAAATGTATCTAACCTTTGGGCATAAAAAAAAGTTTTACACATTTCACCAATATTATTTTATAAACTTCCGAATACTCCCCTTTGAAATTATAGACTTACTTCAGCGTTTCAAACACTGCTGGCACGCCTTTACTGGAATGCCATGGAGCTCCGCAGTCACTTTTTCTCAGTTCCTCTCCCATCTCAAATCGTTTTAATTTATACGTGTGTTTCAGACTGAGGAAAAGTCATATGTCACTCAGTAGGAAGATAGGAGAGTAAGGATTCTCTTAAAGAGTGTTTTTTTTTTAAATTAAGAAAACATGGATTATGCAGGTTCAATGAACGGGCAAACTTCGTTGACACTATACGCATGCAGAACGCCCCCCCCCTGTTAAAATGCAAGGCACTGCTGCTTTGCTTATTTCCATTTTATAACCAATTTCCGTATTGTTACACGACGGTATTTCATGACTACTTGAACGTTCACAACTACCTCCTGCTTTCAACTTGAGGACGGCCTGCCTCGGTCGTTGATCTGAGTCTTTCAGGGAGCATCATCGCCAAAAGCCTGCGTAATCTTCTGCATGGTCTGATCTTGAGGTACCACCAAGATTTTGGCGCCCACAACACGTCTGTGATCGCGGCGTAATAGGCGCTGAAAGGATGAGGCTCACCGGCCCGAAAATGTTCATGCATGCGCAGAAAAGTTAAGGATTTCCTCCCCGCTTCATTAATTTTGGCGTGAAAAAGAAAGAAATGAACATAGGTTTTTATTTAAGAGAACTCATGATTTGCAGCCCCCAATATTTTAATGAAGAGCAGAATTATATTGAACATACAATCAAGACACTTCAATACTCAAACTATTTCATATTCAATACGAATGAAAGGCTCATAAAATATTTCAAAATAGATGTCCTTCCTGACTAACCCCAGGAATCAATAAATTTATTATTCTACACACTAACTCTATCAAAAATACAATCATAAAGAATTTAACTAAACTCAACATAAAATGTATCGCAACTGGATAGTCGGAAGATATTTTTTTGAACACATCTCGTATATCCAGACGACACTATAGTTTTTCGGTGCTCCTTCGAAAATCCCCGTAACCATAGCCGCCAGCTGATCGCGATGCTGACCTAACGACAAAAATCAATAGTGGAAAGATTGGCTTATATCATTCGAATGTCGATTAGGAGTAATGATCTCTGAAGACCTCATGTTGCAGTCGTTTATCCGTACTACTGCTAAAGATTCAGTAAAAAAAACCCGTTCACTGCACGGCCCCGGAAAGCGCCTGACAACTCCTGCTTTCCAGAATATTTACAAAGGTCTGATCAGACCAAGAAATCTGGTATTGTATTATCTGGGCAGAGATCTCCCGATTGCACAGTGCCCAGACAGAGCAGTATTCAAAAGCGTTTACTGATGTAATTATTCCTACAATTAGACCAGTGTCCCGCAGAAAAAAACGTCGCTAACTTCACACAACGTAATCCCTTTGTAACCAAGATGTTTTACCCAGACCCTCCACGAAATTGAAACCTTTTGGTAAAGAATCTCGAGAGGATGTGTCCCTGATCACTACAGCCTTAGCCATTTCATGTCTAGGGTAAACAGTAATCTATTCTACATGTCACTATAATATCAACTCCTTTGTTCCTGCTTTACACTCTTAAAACAAACCTATTCTTTTAAACTATACCTTGAGTGTACGTTTACGAATTTCAAATTATGGCTTCAGTATTCCAATTACACGAAACACTCTTGTATTTCCACACATATAGAAATCTGCAAGTAGATAATATTACTTTGTTCTATAATATTATTGTTCTTCTAATATAAGGCCCCAAGCCTTATATTAGAAGAACAATAATACTATAGAACAAAGTAATATTATCTACTTGCAGATTTCTATATGTGTGGAAATACAAGAGTGTTTCGTGTAATTGGAATACTGAAGCCATAATTTGAAATTCGTAAACGAGATCGCTGAATCCATATACAATTTGAACACATCGAAAGATTATTATTATTATTATTACTGATGTTATTGTTGTGGTTTGTTGTTTCGAAATAGATTTTAAACAAGTTCAAGCCTATCATCATGTTTAACATATTTCAAAACTTACAAAGATCGGTTAAATTGCCAAAGGCAACCATTGACGTTGAAAAGTTAACTTAATATGAGAATTATTCAAAGACGTTTCATGCTCACAATATCAAAAACAAATCAGTCAAACAAAGCAAACGTACCGAGATACGTTACTCTACTTGCCGACACTATCATAACTATACTTGGAAAGAAAGTCAACATAAAATTCCTTAAAGGTAACTGCAAACCTATAAGATAATATATACAGTACAAAATAACCTAAAACTTCAAGCAAGAAATTAAACTATAACCTTGACTGAATGTTACAAGGAATATATAGGAGAAAACTCGACGAATTAGAATAAAATATTATTTGAACGCAAAAGATATATTTCGCAAAACAACACAGTCGATGTATTAGCCACACGCTGTAATGAGTGACCATAATTTCGATTTAAATATGCTACGTTAATTAAAAGTTATAGAAATTTATTAAGACGCATATGTATAGAATTTCCTTTGATATGATATCTAGGAGTAACGTTGAAAAAGTGTGACACAATGACATTCCCATTTATTTATATAGGTTATGTCGTATAAAATAGCCTTTCACAAAAGTGCTATCAAATTGAATGTAATGAAACTGACTGTAATTTGAACACGGCTCTGCGATTACTCAATCAAAATCTCTATCCGATATACAACACACACAACTATTTAAATGTGTTCATAGGGAAGTTGTCAACTGGTCCTACCACCGTAAGACTATTTGATAAAGTACACGTTGCTGATTATATTAGAGGGTGTAATTGATATTGCTGATTATGTTTTGTCCAAAGTATTTTTTGGATGTCCACGAAAACTCGTTGACACTTTTGTGGTGTCAACAAGTACACGTTGTTACTTTCGTAATGCTTGTTTTAATATAGACTTTGTAATCGCAGATACAAACTATAATACATCGTTGAACAATGCTAATGTCAGAGACCTTTGAATATCACTCGCACTAATAGTACTTCCTCGATAATACACGTTCGAACAATAGTCCGTATAGTGATCCTAATAGGGGAATAGTATAGAGAAGAGAATAGTTATAGAGATAGATTAGAAATAGTGATCCGTATAGCAATAGAGGATAAAATAGAATGTGTGATCAATTAAACATCACGCTACTTTCTATTTATGTGTTTTCTCTATGCTCACGTGATCTACCTAATTCAATAATGGGATCGCCCGTGTTTGCTCACTGGCGATCTATGTTCAAACTCAAGTGTCGGCAGTATATATAACAGTATTAATCAAGTGGAAATCGAAGGAATTCTTCTTCTATGTATTCTGTTCCTTAAGGATGTGAGTGATCATGGCTCTCCACAATTTCCTGTCATTTACAGGTGTTACTATATTTTAGGTTTTTTCTTTCTTAAAATCTGTTCTGTCATCCAGATACACAATCTCATTAGGTAGGTTATATTACATTTTCGTCTATCCCTCTTGCCTTTGTAATAACTTGTAAACTTGTTTCCTCGTTATATGTCCTAGATATTTAAATTACCTATTTCTGTTGTTAAGTATAAGTGACTTTGTTGTTTGCTTTTTCTCTACAAATTAATCGTTGCTCGTATGTTTAGTCCATGGTATTCACAGCACCCTTCTGTAAAAATACATTTATTTTGCTTCAATTTTCTTCTTCCCTATGAGAACTTCAATATTCTTTACTTTCAGTCCCTTTAATGATGCTGGTGCTGCACTTAGAAATGCCTTTGAAGTTGAACAAAATGAGTATCACCAGAATAAGATCAACAACATCTTAACTGCTTTTACCAACAAGAAATCAGCTGACGCCTGGAAAACTATCAACGACAGACGTGCCGTTGCTTCCGTCTGTCTCTTCTAAAATTATTTTCATGGCAAGTGTTCCGACGAGCTACTTTTGCTGCTTCCCAGAGTGCCGAAATTTAAGCGAGCTACTTGGCTGGCATCTCAGTCCCACCGTTTCACTGTGAAAACAGTTAAATATAACTGTCTCTTCTACCCAAACAGCTTCTTTGGAACTCCCTTCCCTTTGCTTACTTCACTGATAACTATAATATTCGCATATTCAAGTGTAATGTCAATCGACATCTGAGACATTAGACTTGTTCCCCGCTCTACTCTGTATTCTTTTCTCAAACAGACCTCTTAACTCTTGTTCTCAATCCTCTGTAACATCTTGGTCACCTCGATGTGGTGTAAGGGTTAGAAAGCTTGTCTTGCTAGATCAATTACGACTGAGTAGTGAGTTCGATCCTCACTGGGTGCCCCATACTTTCGGCCTTGTGCCACATCTAAGCTATGCTTAGAAAATCATTTGAATCAAGCTGAGCTTCTCGGCTTGACGGTCGAACTCTCTGCCTCTGAGCAGAGAGGAACCCGGATGAGGTTCCGCCGAAGTGCACAGTCTCGTTCGGGGAGGTTGACCAACCCGATCCCGTTTGTACGGGTTCTACGGGCATTTTTTGGCCGAGCCTACGGGCTCGGGAAACCCACGTTAAACTCGGCCTTGTGCCACATGCAACTCTCGTGGGGGTGGGGGCTAGATACCGAATCCTCTGTAACATCTTCCGTGCTAGTAGGACGCCCGCCTTTCTTGGGGTGAATTGCCTTAAAAAAAATAAAAATAAAAATAAATGTGGTAGAAATGTGGTAGATATGGACTGAGGGGTGCGTGCTTCCGTTTCCTTTAGTAAGGCAACGTTGCTCTCACAAAGAACTATCATGGTAACAGCTATTAGTAAAAATCTACCACCTGATGTTTCTGAATAGAATATCACCTGAAACTGAGTCGATACTGAAGAAAAACTAAAATGGCTTCCGCACTAGCAGATGAACATAAGAACAAATTCTTACTACTGGATGAATTTTGGATTGCCCATAATCCAAAAAATTTCCAGCCACCCTGTGTGTTGACTTCTCAAAAGTATTTGTCTCCATCCCTTGTAGGAAAACGAAAGAAATACTACTTGCATATTGAATACCCAAAGACACTGTAGATGCTATCTTGTTGCGGTATAAGCACATCCGTTCCCTTGTAAGCTCATCTGATGGAGACACACAATTTGTTTTTTTTTTATATCACTACAGGGGGTTTTCAGGAATACACACTTGCGCTTTTTCTCTTGATCATCTGTCTTTAACATGTGCTGAGAAACGTCCTAGATAAAAACATACAACTTTGCTTCACTCTCACTAATCGAAAAAGCAGACGTTATCCTGCCGTGAGCAGTGATGCTGACGACTTAGCGATACTGGGAAGGGGTCATCTAAAAGACGAAACGTCACTCCTTCAAAACATCGAACATATAGCCCAGGTGATTGGACTGTATATCAATGCGGGTAAAACAGATTTAATCTGCTTGAATCAAGATACATTGACAGGCATAAAAAAAAAATCTGACCAGAGAAAACATGAAGCAAGTTGATAACTTAAATGTCTGGGTAGCTATACCCTTGTGTAAATTAAATGAAACAACCACTTTAGTTTCCTTTCTTTCACCATGAATTTTGTTTTAGATCCATTGAAATGACATATTTTAATCAATTTATATTTTTTCATTAGATTAGGTCATTTGCCGTGTTGTTCAGTAATATCAATCTATTTTCGGGGTGTATGATGAAATTTCTTTGGCCATGAAAAATATTGCGTCATCCGTGATTGCATTAGACTGTTATCACACCCAGACACTATTGTCTCGACTGTCGATTAATTGTCCTACGGCATTGTCTGTGATGTACGTTACTCCAAGGAAGCGTGTGAAAATTGTAACGCTACACTAACGCACTAGCAAGCCTTACCAGTGAGCATATCAAAGTGCTATCGACTGGCTCGGAATCTCTCGTGTTTTAAATCCAGTCGAGAATCTGTGGTCAATCTGCAAAGAATGACACCGTGGAATGGACATACGAAGTACAAAGATGTGCACTGGATCATGTTTCATTGGAAAAATACGAACAAAAAAACGTAAATTATAACGGAATTATTCGTTTTGTTTCAGTTAATTTGCACAAGGGTGCATATTGCCGTCATTTAGAATTATGTCAAGGTCAAACCGAGAAGTGCCTGGGGAGTGCTCAATGGAATGAACAAAGTCTGGAACTCAAATCTACCGGACAAACTGAAGAGAAACTGTTTTAGAGCTAAAGTAGAATATATCCTTGTATATGGTTCATTAACCTGGACACTTACAGCCTAACTGGAAATAAAGTTAGATGGTACTTACACACGAATTCTTAGATCAGCACTAAACAAACCCTAGAAAGATCGGCCAACAAAGAAATCACTTTATTGCAACGTACCACCAATCAGCAAATTGCTGATCATTGCTGGCGTAGCAACGAAGAATTCGATGGAAAATTTCTACTTTGGATACCATTCCATGGAATTGGAACACAAGATCGACCAAAGAAGATGTATATTGACCATCTGATTGAAGATGCAGACGGGATGAGCATTCAAATGAAATGAACGAAAGGAATGGATGGAAGAAGCGTGTCATAGAATGCCGAACTAGCTCGACCTGATGATAATGATGTTCTTTTCTTTATTTCTAATAAAATTTTCCTGTTTCTTTATACTTTGCTTCGCTTTCAGAAAACTTATTCGCTATCTTAATGATTATTCGCATTTTGGTATGGTACTTTCCGTCCTCTATTAAAATGCTTTCAAGGCATTTAATTCTTATTTTTGTTTTGTATCTTCAATTTGCAATTTGCATTTTGGGCTGTTCCTATAACTAGCAAACATACATTAGCTCTCTTTACAATTGATATTTCGTTCTTCCTAATCGCTTTCTTTGAATAACTTTGCACAGTTACCTGTAATTTCTTTTCTCTGCCATCTATCAAAATCATATTGAATGTAATTGGACGCAAAAAGAGGCATCTCCAAAAGTGTTTGACATTCTTGCAGAGACAATGCTTTTGACGTATAACTTTCTTGCTCACAATAAACAATCGTTTCAAAAGGACTTTTTTCCCTTGACACCGCTATGGTTTGTACTACTAACACTCTCTCACTATTCATCTGGCTGTAGGTGATTGAAAATAAATAGTCTTTTGGTTATAATATCTACGGTTTTTAACAACAAATAGCAAATATTTATTTTTGTAAATTATGATTATCCAAAGAGTATGAAGTGGGATAAACTATAATTGCTGGAGTTTCAGGACTTGGATTTCTATTGATTGAAAATTATAGATCACGATTATAAAACAATATAGAGAATTGAAACGAAAGAGATATTTTGCGAAGAAAATGTATAATGTCTGCAAAAATCATATACTTACATATTTTTATTTCTCTTTAGTTCATAGATATTTTTATAAAATCATGAATAAAATACTTGTTTTCATTGTTATTTATCAATGAAATAGTAAATAATTAAAAAACGCATTGCAGTTCGTTCATATATTGTGAAAAATGTATTAACATTCGGATAAAAGATTTCTTTTGATGTGCATTTTTTCATAAAATGATGAATAAGGGATATTTCAGAAATAATAAATAATAAATATCGTTGAGATGTTTTTATAATCTTGTAAATAAACTTCATTGAGTCGCGGTAGTTTTAAAATAAGAACGCTATTAACAAAAAATATCCTTTTGAAAAAAAACTTTTTTTTTTCGGGAAAAATGTTAAACGTTTCGCACATAGGCGTAATCAAGTAGGAAATAGATAAACTGCTGATGTTAAAAATGATGCCTCGGCAGCTGCTGCTAAATTTCATGCCAAGAAGGCTTTGTGCAAACGAGAGCCACATAGAAATTTCTTTGACTTAGCAGAGTGTATGAAGATCATCCACTGCCAGATTAACCTGTGGAAATGCTGGTGAGTGAAATTATACCAGCGGTGGCGTGGTCTGCACCGCGGCAACCCCACTTTACAGATGGCGCGAGATCTGGTAGATATCTCTGGTAGTGTGTTCATCATGGCATCGCAGTGAAAACGGCGATGAATGATATAGCAAGCCTGGTAACTGGACAGAAGTTCGGTTTTGAAAATATTTGATGTAGAAATTGGACAAATTAAATTAAACGTACAACAATTTACATGTGAGGCTGTGCTAAAAATCATGTCTTAGCCTGATCTGCGTCAGCAATAACAAAACATCAAATACAACTTTACAGGGTTTTTTCAGATGGTCCACGAAATTTTTAGCGTATTTTCCGAATCTTTTAGCGAACAAAAAATGAGACTTTCAGTTTGCATGGGTGCGAGAATGGGAGACGTTAAGTTTCTCGACATAAAGCCGCCATATCTTTGCAGTAGAGATAGGAGAAATCAGATAACAAATTAAATTTCACACAAAATGAATGTTCCATACAGAAAGTTGTTATCAGACATGCAAAACGATTTTTTACGGTATGCCTCAAAGTAAGTATATATATATATATATATATATATATATATATATATATATATATATATATATATAATAAATTATAAATATACATATATATATATATATATAATAAATTATAAATATATATATATATATATATATAATAAATTAAATATATATATATATACATATATATGATAAATTAAATATATATATATATATATATATATATATATGATAAATTAAATATATATATAATTTATCTTATGTATACATATATATATATATATATATATATATATATATATATATATATATATATATATATATATACAGACACACATGCACACACACACATATATATGCATAAATTGCAAACTATTTTTATGTTGGCAGCAGTAATTCAGTCGAGCATGTTTTATGGAAATTGATAGGCAATGTTAGTATGTTATACTTTTTTATTTGGGGGGGGATTTTTCTAGGTTTTGTATAAGTAGCGCATGAGCACGTTTGGATCAAATTTATGAAACAAAAAACTAAATTCGATCCGAATATGCAGCAAAGTATAGGGAACTAGGAAGATTTAATAAAGATGTTAACGGACTGTCACATTTGGTGAATTTCAGTATAACCTGTCTACCTTGATAGTGTCTTATATCCACCTCTCTCTCTCTCTCTCTCTCTCTCTATCTATCTATCTATCTATCTATTATCTATCTATCTATCTATCTATCTATCTATCTATCTATCTATCTATCTCTCTCTCTCTCTCTCTCTATATATATATATATATATATATATATATATATATATATATATATGCATAAGGTTTATGTTGGCAGTAAGAATTCAAATAACAAGTTTAAATTTTCAATAAGAAGCTGATATCGCCGTCAGAATTGTGGATAAACAAAACTTGAACAAAGTCCATGTTTTTTCCCCAATATGTCTAAAATTATATTCACAGTTTCGTCCACATTAATCAACATCTTATTTGAAAATTGCCTATATATTAGCCAAATATATTTTATTTTTAATCCAACCTGTATATATATTTAAACTATTTTCATTGTTCGGACTTTTGTCATCAACTTTGTTGTCATATTCCGGAAGTTTTGCACGTCGTACGCTCCGACCATCCTCAGGTGATATACGATATAATTTCAAAGCGAAAATATATTTCGTCCACTCGGATAGAGTCTTCTAGTTCCAGGTGCCATGCTATTTTCTTGATAATTCACTTTCATATTTTTTTTCGTAGCTCAAACCTGCAAGTTCTTTTCACCCCTGCTGTAGACAGGTATTGAACTCAAAACACTTTGGATCAAGTCAATAAATATGGTGTCAACAGACTCAAAAAATTATAAATAGTGTTGTTACAATGCCTCATCTGAAAAATATAGACTGATTATATATATATATATATATATATATATATATATATATATATATATATATATATATATATATATATATATATATATATATATATATATATATATAATGAGTAATTCGATTATTTTAATATATTTTCTGTTTAAACCGTATTTCTATAGATACAACCTTTGCCAGCCAGAACCTCCGAGCAATTTAACAGAAAATATGTTTTCCGAGAGAAATTCAACCTGTATCCTATACAGAACCGTCATATAACCTGACGTGCTATACTATATGACTACTAGGAACTGGTTAGCAAAATCAAATTATTGTTTTCAAACTATAATTTTCCCATGATTTTCTAAAAATAACGCATTATAAGAAAATATATTAAAATAATTTTGAACTTAGTTCATTTCATAATATATGATATCATTTGTTTACGTTAAGATAGATTCAAGCAGATATGAGCGTTCGAGAGAAATCATGGGAAATTTGTTGTTTAAAATGAAGGAAATGTAATTGGCTCAAAGTTGGGTTGAATTAATATTTTGGAGTGAGTTCAGTGAAACAATCAGGCTCACATTTTTTTTAGCAACCTTCTTCTCGCTTGCGTTTTTCGTGCATAACACGATTCTGGTTAAAGTCTCTAAAATTGTACAGATTTTTTCCCTCCAGTATGAACAATAAAGCGCTAGATATTTGATATCATTCTGTATAAACATAGGCCGTCTTCTCTATGCTCTTAATGTAATCTTTAAACGTGTCATTTTCGGCTTGGGGACTGCATATTTTCCTTTGGATAATTTCACTCTCGAGAAACATCATTGCGATTTTATCGTTCTGACACCTGACAACTCCATCGTAATCAGAGCTATATACAGGGGGTCCGATAAACTTGTCATCTCCTGCCAAACAATAATGGGGACAATAGGAGAACAAGTAATGCAGTAATACAAATCACATGTACTGTGTTCATTATATTCATTTTCATTGACGCTCTCACATATCGAGTACGTCTGCGTGAACAACAACTTTTCGTTGCACAAAATGATGTGGCGCCATGTCCTGTGTAATATTTTACGATGCTGTGTTTTGTTGATTGTTGCAAAGGGACTCTGAATGGCGCCCTTCCACTAATGGCTATTCTTGTATCGTTCATGTGAAATTATCTGCCTACAGAGCGTTGAAACATGTACCGGTGAATAAACTTTCAGATCACTCAGTATATTCAATTATTTTTAAAAATATTTTTAAAAGGATAATTTATTCGATATTTGTTCCTGTATGTATAAACGTTATTTTATTCGATACATTTGTTTGAGTTATTTTTTAAAATAGAGAAATTAAAAAAAAACAAAACAAACTGTTTAAATTCTGAAGTCAGTTGTGTCTGCGACAGAAATGCTACCTGCATCCATTTTTCCATCAAGGAAACAACATTTTGAGATAATGTCTGCCTCTAAATATTCAGCCATGGAACCAACCTGACAGGATAATTTTCTCATAAACAAACTGAAACACGTTTACCCACTAAAATAAAGTTATTAAGAAATAATGTCGGATAAGAAAGAACCTTTAAAATTTCCAGTTGTTTACGTTTCTATACGAAACTGAAGTTATCATTTTAGCCCCAAAGAATTCACAAAGAGCAGGTGCCTTGTTTACATTATTTACATTATTCGGACTATTGTTCACAGCTTTTCACCATATTTATTACAAGGTTTCGGCTGTTGAACGCTCCGGCTTTCTTCAGGTGGTTGGAATGTCTCTCTGAAAGTTCTCCACTGCCTTAACCGGGTATTGAACTCACACTCTTTGGGTTCTGTCACTCGACCTAATTAACGCCTTTTATCTCCTGTACCATGTGTCCTCAAGGGAAATTAACCGGATATAACTGATAACTGACATCCATTAAACATAGCACGTGGAAGTGGAACAGCCTACCCCAGTGAGCGAAATAAAGGGTTCAGTTCTGAAGAAGGCCGGAGCGTACAACGGCCGAAACGTTGTAATGAATATGGAGACAAAGATGGGGACAATAATCCGAATAATGTAAATAATGTATATGATACCTCATCTCAGAAATATAGACAGGTGTCTTGGTTAATGGTATCGTCGTGATAAAATAAATAAAGGAATAATTATAATCATACTGACACTTTCTCATGACTATTAAAAATAAAAAAAATACATGTTATATCGACCCAAGTAATTAAAATAAAATATTGATAACAATTATAATCATAATTAAAAATATCCACTCTTTCTAAATGACTCAGAATCAAGTCTACACTTCTCTTTTACACACAAACTCACGTGACACTGTGGCATACCTGACGAGCTGAGAGAAATATTCATAGATATATGATTTGATTTTTACGGTTTATCAACCATTTAATAATTATTTAAGGCCAAAAAATATTTTAGGTTTTAAGAATAATTCTTTCTTTACATTCAAGCGATCTGGGAGAAAGAAAGAGAAAACGAAGGAGAAAGAAAGAAAAAATAATACGAAAACAGGTCATAGGCGAGCACACACACGCACGGATGACAGATAACAGGTGTCGAAAAATATTCAGGTCAAGCATCTGACCGATTTCCGCGGATCCGCGAAAAATGGAAGTGTGCTATCAGTTGGTTGTCACCCAGAGGAAAAGAAGAAACGAAGTTTAGGGACAATGAAAATATTGATAAGTAACAAAGTGGGAAAGTGTGTCATTGGAATGATAGTAAAGGTCTAAGTGGGTGGGGAAGTGTATCTAAGGATATGAAGACAAACCATTAATACGAAAACACAGACAGTCTTCAGAATTAGAAAAAGCCACACAAGGTGGTCACTGGCAATTTTTTTTTTTTGAGATAATAAAGATTTTTATTGTCAGACCTTCGAGCGGAGGGAAAATGAAATATTTTTATTCCGTTTCAGAAACGCCAACGAGTCTGAGAAATTCCTTTCTTAGATCATATCCAATTAGCGATAAACTGCTTGACAAATACCACGTGTTGGAAAGCCAAGATTGTCATCTCAGTCGCTCATGATAAGGGCGATTTGAATTAATATTTTTGTTTTTTAAGCAAGGTATCTCTTTCCCAAAACAAAGCCACGGATTGTCCACGCCCGACTAGGACGTCATTGGCTAAATAAGATCACATGACACACGAAGGAGGAGGAAAGATACCCAACCAGGACCTCATTGGCCGAGAGCGGTCACGTGACGCACGAGGAGAATCAGTTGACGCCCCTGTCAGAAGTGTAAGTGTAAGGAGCCGATACGAAGAAGCGGGGAAGTGGGTACACGCCCCTCAGAGGCACAGTAAGGGAGTGGGAGTGAGAGTGAGTTACCGAAAATGGAAAAGAATGAAAAATCCCTTACCAGAAATAAGAAGGGTGGATACGTATTTAGAATTATCGAAGAACGGCAAGCGGCAAGAGGAGTGGGACCGCGGACGGTCGCCCACTTTGGGGGCAAGAGAGGTCAGTTCGCTTGGCCTGAGTTCAGTTCAGTTTGTTCGACCCAAGCCGGAGAGAAGAAGTCAGATTGAGCCGCGGACCCTGGCGAGAAGTTTTGAACCTTGGACGACAAGCAGAGATGAGCGCCCAGTGTTGAAACCGCTTCAAGATAGCTAACCAAGATTCACGCACACTTCTGGACTCTTCTTCAACCAAGAACAAGTAGTTTGAAGAGCGACTTAGAATCAAGACCACAGAAATAAGTTTTTTTCGACTTTCGTCCAAAGACACACCGAAACACAAATTATTTAGAGAGCAGACAACTTGAAGCCTTAAAGTTGCCTAGTAAAAGCGTCGTGCCACAATCCACAGAACGGGCCGGGAAGTAGACATAGTCCTATGTACCGAGCAAATAGACATAAAAAGTTTGTTACCTTTTTCTTGATACGTTGACCTTGTGAGTTTTTATTTTATTTTCTTTTATACATAATTGTGTTTATCACCCCGTTAGACTCAACTTGCATTACGGCCCCAACCCCTGTTTGATCTCGTCTGTCTAAGATCAATTCACAACGTGGGTAGGCAGACTGGAGATCAGTGCAGCTACCCTAGTAACCAGGCGTTGGAAGCGGGTTGGGAACTGCGAGGCTGGTATCAATCTAACCAAAGGGTTAGAACGTCACGTTTGGAGCAGCGAGGAGCGAACAGCTGACGCCGCGGCGAAGACGTCACAGTTGGTGCTGTCCGTGACCAGGATATCAGAGCCTGGGGAGCACGTGACGTCACAATTGGCGCCGCGACCGGGATCGAACGACACAGTCGACGCTGCGACCGGGGGACGACGTCACACACCCTCACAATCGGAAATGCAGTCAAAACGAGAGTTGACAAAACATGCGGCCTATTTACTTTTCTGCCCACGGGATACTTCCCTGGCACTTATGCTTCGGCCCTTTGTTGGGTGTGGTGGGGTATCATGGCTACTACCAGCTTGGACGTGCTCGGATCTA